CAAGGTGCTTTCCTCTAAATCTTCCTACCAATGTGACCAAGTTGCGAAAACAAGGTCAAACAACTTATATTCCACGAAAGGAGACTTCGACCATACAAAAGCCAACACCATCTTGTTACTTATACCATGTAGATTAAGGTTAAAGTAGCGAACAAAATCATTGGATGCCTCATTAAGATCGCTTATTTAAGTGTTTTAAAAAGCGACTTAGGTTGCAGCCGGCCACCTTTTCACTTTGTTTAGTATATTTTTGCTCTTTTTCGTGAAATATGGGTACCTTCTCTGTTGATATCTGTCACAGTACAGGCGAAAACTTAGTGTAATTTAATCAACGTCGTAAGACCACCGAGGACTTCGAACAATTCAACAGTTTTACCTACCTGGCAATCCTCCTTCGGTTTCCAGGGTGACCACATCACCAATTCTTTCCTACCAATTTTACTTTCGAAATGGAGATTCAATTCACAATTTAATGGCTTTGACATGGGAAGCTGACAACTTAAAACTTTTACATCCCCTAATAGTTATTTGGTAAATTACAAAAAATGCTTCATTTGCGCAATGTAAATTATTTCGAGTTCCGCACAACTGCCAAATCCAACCTACTTGACAGGCCAGTTGATTGGTTGTAGGGATTCAATTAGTTTTGCAGTGCAACTTATTCCATGTAATTTGCTTGGTGTTAGTCGGCTTTTTATCTGGAAGTAAAATTAGATTGGTTGGGCTTAATTCGAAATCGAGAGATGAGTGCCTTAGAATGATGATTGTTTGATTGTGCGTAGAAGTTCTCAGCTCACCATTCTGTGGCTTTGATGAATCTATATTGAGCTTTCGTTTGTCATGTGGCAGACATTGTCAGAGCGAGAAGGCATACTTTGCGAAAAATGCACTAAATAAAACAAGTTAATAAAACGGCTGCCAGTTATAACTAGAGCCGCTTTTTAGATTTAATTTGCCATTGTAATTAGGAATTACAGGATTTGTTTGACTATTTCATGCCTTTCCTAGATTCCCGCAGATATGGGAGGCTGATTTATTATAACGAATTACACCAGCATTTGATAATGCAATTTTGTCGCATGTTTAGACTTATGGTTTTTGCATGTTGCTTGGGTGTAATGTCCAAATCTAGTGAAGCGTGAGGGCTCTCGAGGGCCTCGAGGATATTGAAGCGCACTTCTCTCGCTAAGTGGTTATACCTGGTCCTCACTCTTTCTCTCTCTCCTTAGTCCTATCGAATAGCCACATACGGTTCCCACTATTTAATACACTCATTCCTCCTTTTCATAATGTTGTTTGCTTTGTTTATTTGTATAGGCTCCCTAGTGAAGGGCCTAGATTCGAAGTTCTTTGCAATCTGTATCAGCCATAGGCTCGGCCAATTTGGATTTTTTGGACTTATATCCTTTTGCAAGCAGTCTTGTGTTCAGATAGGCTCTTAATTATGGGTTAGCAGGTCTCTAACACAAATATTTCCACAAAGCCTTGTGGCAGTCTGATATATAAAAAGTATCCACAGATTCTCGAAAAGAGAGTTTATCTAAAGATTGTGTTAGATTCCCTCTATACAGTGTTCTGATATCCCAACTCCTCAGCAGTTTACCTACCTTTTCGTAAGCCGAGAGTGTAGCTACCTTAGTAACCGATTAGAATGATCTACCTGCTTGTTCTGTCCTAAATAGCTATCTACCTGCATTCCATCTACGATTAGTTAAAAGTAGTTGCCTTTTAATCCTATTTTATAATTGTTCGAAACAAAAATATTTCTCAATCATCCACCACCAGCTTCTTATAGTACCATATAAGTACCATAGGAACTACAACTAGGCAACTTTTGCAAAATGCTCAACGAGCACTGAGGGTATTTGTGGATATGAAGATCTATTTCTTGAAAATGTTAGATTCTTGCTGTGGGTACTGATGATACTGCCGTCCAGTCTGGATGAGAGTACTTTTTGAGGCTATGTGAAATTCGTTGGCATCATGAGACCTACTTATATTATTGTGAGGACCTTTAGCTAGCAAACCAACATTAATTTACGCGTCCTATGGTGAATATATATATTATTTTGCATAACCTTTACTATCAGTATTTTACTTCTTTTCTATTATACTATTGACTGCCTCATTATTCGGTAAATTCTATAGACTCTCGGGCTATCTCCTTCCTTCGAATGGCGCTTTCTTCCAGTCCACCAGAACCATTGCCTATCCCGCCCGGATTCGGCTTACTCACCACGCTTGGAGACATGTCTACCTCTTGCTCGACGAATTCTGTCTTATCCAAAAATCTGCCCAGCACTGGCTCTGACCATTCCTGTCGCGTCCCCAGTACAATGGTGACGGGTAGCGGGAGATTCGCTTGTACCGGCAAAGGGGAAACCAACTCGCAGTCTGAGGTTGCTTGTCTAACGTTGCCCGCAGTTGCCAGTAGATTGTTACCCTTACTGGCGCACAATCGTCACGTCTTCGGGCCTTACTATGCAGAAATTATTCAAGACCTTCTACATTTTAACTCTTCGAGGCCAGATGCTACTACTTCGACGATATAAGTCAGGACCAAAGCTTGTTGTTGCGGTGGCTGGCCTAATCTTCCCTTCATGTGCAAATATGTGTTTTTTTTACTCTCTTACACCCATATATATATATATATATATCGCCACACATTTTTGGTGCTCCAATCTTTAGTGCATCTTTTCACTGAAATCTCCACAAGTGGCCTCGGGCTTTCTATCATTCAAAACCTTTATTTACTTCTGAACGCCAGTGGAATTTCTTCATTCAGCTGTTCGTTTTAAACCTACTGCTGAGAGCCATTGTTTCTATTCCATTGCTTTTTCCAAAGAAATAGTTTTTTTATGTTAAAGCTTTGAATTTTTCAAGTCTAGGTGTTAGAAGTCATTTTGTTATTATCTAGAATTATCCTAATTTTTCCAGTCCTAAGTAGCTTAACCTTAAAGGATCGAATAAAATCCATCAAATCCTATTCGTTATGGAACAAGATTATGTTGCTTTCCCTATTGATGCAGTCTCCTTTAGCTGTTTAGGATTTGGCTTGACTTTCGTTTTTTTTACTTGTTTATGTCACCTGGTAAATTAAACAACGCACCCTATACTCTATCTCTATACCATTGTGGTCATGCTTTTCCTTCGCACGGGACTGCTTATTGGGTACATTACCTTACTTTTTGTCAGCTTGATGACCAATATTATCATCAAGTAGAAACCTTAGTATCAGACAACATGTCATTGACAAGCCATTTCTTCATTGCTTCCATGAGTCAATCAAGTGATCAATTTTTAGCAGCGGAACATGCATTGGACACATTTGGGATCGTTTTACCCGTTATCCGATGACAATACATAATCGACGAATTCCAATGGTTATCAGTTCAACGTCTGGGAAACCGCCGGAAATGATTGGTACGGGGTTTTATCGTTCCTCCTTCGAGGTCTATCCTCAATCACGACCAAGTCGCGAAAGTGCCCACAAACCGAGTGAATCAAACTTTTTTGTTTGGATCCAGTATCTTTATCTTATTCCGCATGGCAAATCTTTTAACTTACATTCTATTATTGCTCGAACAGTTACTACCAAAATAGATACTGAGAGGTTCCAGCCGCATCTAAATACTTATGGGATAGGGATCAATACAAGTCTAAGAGACCAAAAGAGAATTGACAATTCTAAGGGTTCAATCGGCTCATGTGACAGAATAGTATATGCAGTACTCACAAAAATTCTACTTGACAGTAGGAGCACTTTTCTTGACGTATTTACAAGAAGCAACTACTATATGAGAGCCATCACAATGGAATCGTATCTGGATAGAAATTCATTGAAATTAAAGTTGTAGGCTTACAAAGCTGCCAAATACTTGAGAATATTAATATTTTCAGTATTTCACACTCTAAACGTGAACCGTTGCTTGATTTGTACTAATTATTTAAAAACTGTATGATAAATCTACTATCGTCTTAAGCGGCTCTAATATCATTTTTAAGGTAACATGAACGAACTATCCTTCAACAGACTAAAGTGAAAATATATGTAAAAATATCTAACTGGGTTTTGCTTTTCTAGTCTAAATGAACTTAAATTTTGGTGAGGTGTGACTGATCTATGTGATCCTTATTTTTCATTGTCTTACGTATCAAGCAAACGATATACCATTATATGTGGTTGAAAAAAAACATGATAAAAATCGCTAGCTTATGTATGAACCACTGATTTGGAAAAATTGGCATGGGAAATCAAAAGTATACGGCAGCTAATTTCACAGACAAACGGGAGAGAAAAAAAATAATCAAATGGTAAATGGCGGAGAAATAGCTCAACACTTAAGTTCACAACAGAACCAGAAACTAGTGCATACAGAATTTCTATACAACCTGGAATGTCTATGATTGTCTGATTTTCATGTCAGAAATACACTAAAAATCGTAGAGATTAAACTTGTTGAATCCAACATCTTGCCGATTGTGACTATTCGCCCACGGAGAGTTGTATGAGAATACGCCATAAATGAAGAAAGATGAAGAGTAATTTGGTCGGGCCATGAAAAATAGCATATTGGGCTAAAGTGACTTTACCCCCCCTCCCGTCAATTCGGCTACCTCTCTCTATCGGCTATATCTCAATTCATAGAACATCAACCGGAGCGTGACTCATCCGCAGTGTCATGCGGGGACTAAGCGAAATAGCCACCACCACCAATCAGAAAGTGGCATTAAATGTACACAAGAGTATTTTTTAGAAACGATGAGAAACTGTGTTTCGATGACTCTCTTGAGATAACATTGTTAGGGGTACTTTAATTTCGTATGAAAGTGAATGAAGAAGAGAGTCATTGGTCAATCTCACCAGATGAGCACGGATA